TATTTCCCCCTTCCCCCCCCCCCCAAGGGGGTTTAAAGAATTGGGGAAGGAAGAATAAGGGTTTACCCCCCCCCCCCCCCCCCCCCGCCTCCACCCAGCGCGCGATCAGAACAAGACTACGTGCACTTCAGAGCTTGTCGCGGTTTCGGATGCCAAGGCACTCCCCCCATGCACACACCGGACCGCTCCTCAAAACTCGCTCGAACAGCTCGAACGATATTTGCTCCTGGCACATGTACGCGTGCGTGCACAGCAGGCAAAAGCAAAAAGGGCAGGGCACGTGGGGTGAAAAAACAGCACACGAGGGGAGAAAGTGGTTGAAAGAGCGGTCATGGCGTCACGCACAGATGGTGGGGGGCAGAGGGAGGTAGGCAGTGATGGTGAGACAAACAAAAACCGAGAGGGTGGGAGCAAGGGTCCGAGTAGAGTGCGGAGGGCCACCATCTTCCGACGAAGGGTCGATTAACACGAAAGCAACATTGTTCCAACCGCACGGATGCTAGCAACGCGTGCGTGCCTGCATTGCAGCCACAGCAGCATACATCACTAGAGGCATTGGTGAATGGAACGAACCAACCTACACTCCAGAAACCGTTCCTACCGACAAAACCGTAGGCTACATGGCGACACTCGATCGATGGGTACAGAGAGAAACGGGGGGGAGTGCTGATCTCGACACGTCGATGGAGACGAACATCACCAACAAACGAAACGGAAAAAAAAAGCACCAACAGAAGTACAGACAACCATTCTACCTTGACATCCCAGGGTTTCCAGAAGCGCACCTACCGTAGGCGGTACGTACTACCGAGTGGGCCACGCACTATCACGGCTAGTTGAAAAACGACAACCGCTACCTTTACCCACCTCATTCGCTGGGTCGTACGCCGGCGCTAGCTTCCGCTCTATCCATCCCTTGGTCCTTTTCTCCTCGTCCTCGTGGAGGGACAGGAGGCCCTCGAGGAACGCGTCTCTCCCGGAGGCTAGCCGGTACTGCTGCACGGGCCAGACTCGACTCTCGTCCTTCACGGCGTACCTGAGGGACCGCACAGGCAAACGCGGAGAGCAAAAAAAAACATTGGTCAAGAGAGATGGGTGGAGAAATTCCGCTAAAGGTTCACGCAAAGCCGTGGCAGCAGTCATTGCTGGTGTGTCCTGGACTAGCGAATTTATCATCCGCGGGTAAAGCGATGAACGCGAAAAAGGGAAGAAGCGCGGCAGGGATGGATGGCCGTTATTTAGAGATAAAATTTGGCGTGATTTAGAGTCGATCACAACCGCTCTCGTCCACCTTTTCGGGAAGAACGATTCGCCAGAGCTTCCCAAAGCGCACATACATCATCATCCCTCGTGCACCACCGCAGCGAAAGGGCACCTCTTACTGCGGGGTCCTCGCAGATGGGGACGGCTGCACGCACATACCCGGACGAGGCACCGCCTGGTGCTACTCGAGGGCATCGCTGCTGCGTCGATCGACCGTCGAGGCCGCCCTCGAGAAACAGATGCCGACAAAGGGGACTACCTACGCAAAGAAAGTAAGGTGAAACTACGAAAATAAGACCAGGGAGGAGACACGCAGACCGCAACCCTAGCCCCGATTCTATACTTGGTGCGGTACATTTGCTGGCTTAGAGAAACCTACCGGACGAAAGGCAGCAGCGAGCACGGCAACACAAAAAAGTCAACAGCAGCACCAACAACAACAGCTACTTGGATTCGCGACAGCAACCACCGGCCGGCCCGTGTAAAGGTCCTCACCTTCCCGACGGGAGCTGGTGGGAGGCCATGAGCATTCCGACCAACGCGATTGCCTTTGATGCCGGTAGGAGCGCCCCTTCGCCCGTGTCCTGGTCCCGCCCCCCGTCCGCTGCCCCCATAGACCGCCCTTGCGCCATATCCCACAGCTGGGCGGTAGCGGCATGATGTTCGATGATTCAAAACACAGAGCACATGAGACTGAGTTCCGATCGTAGTTCCCACTGTCGTTTGACATGCATTGTAACAATGTCTGGCAGGGTTTTCGACAATGTTTGCGCACCCGAGACAAGAGGAGAGTACTGCACATCACGAACCGGGCGTGACAAAGCCGGGAACTTATCGCAAAAAAAAGAAAAAAGATTGCTACTGGTGATGTCTCTGTCAGGATAAGGAACGGTGCTCGCAACAGACGGGTGGCCAACGACAAAGGCAAGAAACGAACGAGCACGCCCCCCCCCCCTCCCCCTCCAACCGAAAACAAGCAAGAGTCTGTGCCAGCGAATGAAGTACCAACGCACCTGCCGCATACGCTCCGCTGGTCTTGTGTTTACAGCGGCCGAAAACGCCACCATAAGAAACTCTATCTCCAACTCCACCGCATCCGCACTACTGCTGGCCCACCCCCCCACCCCCCCTTCGCCCGAGCTACCACCGGAGTGTGGAGTCTCTCCCCTCGCCGCAGCGCCTAGAATCCCGGGGTGGGCGGCGGCTGTCAGCGCCATCCTATCCAGTAGAAACCCCATCGACAGCGGCTCCGGCAACAGCCCGCTCGACGTTACGTGGCGCGCGAACTCCGGGTAGGTAGCTCTTCAAAGTGTTTGGTTTGCGCAGTGTAGTTGTTGTTGTTGTTCGCGATGACCAGCGGACAAGCGGGGGGAGACAGGCGACGCGAAGAGAGAAGAGGGGCGAGTGTGAACGGCAAATTTTGTAGCATAAGTCACAAGAAAGGGGCTTGATGGGTGTTGGTTGTGTTCGTTTGCTTCGGCGTCATTCGTACCTCCCGGATGGAAAGGCCCTTCGTACGCTGTCCAAGACCTTCCCGAACACGTCTGGAGGGAAGTCGTTGGAGCACCTTAGCTCTTCTACCTCCACCGGTTCTAGGGGACACGCCTCCTCCACCTGAAAACCCACGCAGGCATGCAGGTAGGCAAAAGGGGTGTGCAAATCCTATATGAACATGTCGTACCTTACCTGAGACGCGCAAGGAGACGGAAGAACCAAATGTTTCGACACGAACCCGTACGGTGTATTTCAAAGAGTTCGGCCGCTGTACAAGAGACCATGCCAGGCTTAACCGAGTGCGAGTGCCACCGTCGTGCGTGTGCATTCGCTGAATGTGACGCGCCTTCTTGCACCACCATAAAAATAACTGGATACCATCGCGAAGCCTCAAGGCCAAAACCCAACTGTCGATGGGACGTGGAGCACGATTTCGAGCGCTATTAAATAGTGGCCCGAACAACATCTATCTACAGGCTGACGAGCACCTACCTACACCTCCACCTCCATTCCCGAGCGAGTGAGTGAGTGCGTAAGGCGATCGAGCAAAAGCCATGACCTACAACGGGGCACTGCTGTCCTGGTCTCTTGTCTTTCTGGACAAAACAGCAGTCGGCCGTGCAAACCAAAGGTGGCCACTGAAAACACCGCCCAGCCCCGTCCCCCTCACCTGGTCTTTGACGGCATCCAGAGCCTTGCCTCCGAGATGGCTGCGTAGAAACCACAGCCCCAGGGCCCCAATGAATCCTAGCACCATCTTGCCGCCGTGCTTGGAGAAAATGCTCTCACTGGAGATACGCGTGAGAGCCATTGGGAGCAGAAGTAAGCGACCACAAAGAGGACGGATAGGGGAGGGGAATTGGCGGTTACTAGCACCAACTGCTGTGTTATGGTATGCACAAGCAGATCCGAGACGTAGTGAGACATGGGAAAGCGGGTACGAGACGAATGTGTAGGAACCATTTATTCAGTAATTTGGGACATTCTTGTGTGCAGACATGGACACGCCATTCTTTAGACAAGACGTCAATATCCACCTTAGACGTGAGTACCCGTGAACGGGGTGGCCCTAGCAAGGACGCGCAGCAACAGACATGAGGGAAGCGGCGGTTATCACCGTCCGGCCGGCATATCCGCCAACAGGCCCGCACACGACCCCCCACCATATTCGAAACTAAACAGGAGGTATACTTTTCTATGGCCACAAGCCCTGCTGAAAATGTACCACAACCATTTCATGTTGGTCATGCCTCTATCTGTTTGCGACCTACAGCATTACATGGTTTCTGCTGTTCGGATGCTGACGGTGTGATTACCGTATATGACACAAGATAACACACCCCCTGGACCGATTTTCAAAGCTCGATTACTCCACGACGAAGAGGATGCATAAATGAAACAATACGTTTTCGAACAGCTCTCGACGAGACGGTTCCAACGCCGCCGTTTTCGGCGCTGTGACTCTTCCTGCTGTTGAGAAATCGAGCTTTGAAAATCGGCCAAGGGGGTGTTTTATCTTGTGTCATATACGGTAAGAGAGATCATTTATGCAACGGTTCGACAGCGGTGGGGGGGCTTCACATCCATGTATCTCTCACCAACGGAATGTAAATTTATGCATGCAGGAATGTCATTTACAGTTGAAGCAATGCGACTATCATAAACCTTTATCCGGGAAGGTCGCTTGCATGGGCAATATCCGCATATCCGCATGGCTTGGGAATACGAAAGGACCGTTACGAGACCCGAGCATACACTGCTGTTGATTCCTCGTGTTAATGCTGTACGGGTTGCCACCATGCTTGATGTATCACATACATATAGCCAATGCAGTATGATACTTATGTGGCATTTCACAGCCAGAAGACATCAGAATATTCGATGGGATGGCTGCATGTTGAGGGATTGCGACCTACTTGTAGCACCAGCTATTCAAGAAACGATGCACGTTTCATGTCGACGCGGTGTCCCGCTCAAGCAAGGGTACATGTACATATCTCGCGCCTGCTGGGTGATCCATGAGTGAATGTAGCATTAGCAGCCCGGCGCAGAGAGCCACTCAAATACGCAGCCCCTGCTCACTCACTTATCATCCAAGCGCTTCTTTGCCGCCGCCGCCGTCTCGGGTGACCCTTCCTTCCCCCCTGCAGTCGGTGCTGCTGCAGCAGCAACGTTCTTGTCCGCAGGCGGTGCTGTTGGTGTTGCTGCTGCTGCTGTTGTTGACGAGCATCGACCCGCAGCAACAACGGGACGAAACAACACCACTGCCGTCGCGCGACGGTGGCTATACGTACAAAGCAGAAGCGTACGTCGGCTGCAAGACATGAATCTCCGGGTGTGGTTCTCTCTCTGCTCAGTTGCCTGTGGCTGCCGTGGCAGACGATACTAGTGGACGATGTGGACGATGATTGGCGCGCGTTTTCAAGCAACCTTCGCGGAGAGACTCTGTGGAATCATTGGCACCCCCCCTTATTAAAAAATGGGAGATACGGAGGATGGCGGTATGGCAAACTGTATTATTACTGCAATCTGTGAGCCCCCTTGCGGCTCTTTTTCTGTTTTTTTGGCTCTCCGCTCTCCGCCGGCGGACGACCGCACACCCCGCATCCACTGGCACAGCAAGAACCAACCCTTGAAAAGAGGGGAGATATCGCCTTCCGTGTACGTCCCCAGCAACACCGTCGTCTAGGACTCTCGGGCGTAGCGCTTCCTGCTTCGTAGCGTGGCACACGGGTCTATCTGTCCGCAAAAGAAGAACAGAATTAACGGGAGTGGCACACGCACGCCGTCGAATCATGAGGACTGCTTTCTCGACGCTGGCATTGGCGGCTCTGTTGGCCGGGGTTGCTGCTCAGAGTGAGTGTGATTGTTGGCTGCGCTGCTTGCATACCCTCCTGTGGTGCTCTTGCAGGATATTTTGAAGGATCAACCCAGGGGTCGATCCGTTTTTTTGAAATTGTTCGGTCTGGGCGTGACACACATCATCATCATGACGACGACGTCGAGAATAAAACGAGAGAAAGACAACCCACCAACTTGCTACGCTGCTGCTGTAGCGTCCTCTCAGCTACCCGCTGCCGTGTGTTTCTCTGTATCTATTTGTCTCTCGTTCTCTCCTCACGGAGTTGTGTCGCTGTCCGGGAGCGATCGACGTGGCCGGAGTTGTGTGCGTGCCTATGCACTACTTGTGTTGTCCAGCTTGCCAGAGAGAGGATGCAAAATATTGGCTGGCTGCCCACCTTGCCGCGCTGCTGCTGTTCAATCACACACACGCGTGACATGATGTGACAGCCTCTCACACGGCGGCAAGGGGCTTCATCTGATTTTTGGGGTGCCTACATCGCTATCTTTCACCACTATGTGGATGTATACCATGTACTCAGACGTTGTACGTCCGGAGGCATTGCATTGCTGTTTGAGTTGTCTCACAAATTTGTGTTCGCAGCTTTATTACACCTGGCACGCAAAAAAAATCGCCGCTCGCATCAACCCGTCGGTGACCGGTGACACAATGTATATACAACAGGCCGAAGCGATTTTCAAATCTCGATTACGAAGAGGATGCACAATATGCGACGATGTATGTCTCATATTGCTCCGGAAAGATCTCGACAAGACGGCTTCAACCCCGCCGTTTTCGGTGCCGCCGCTGTTTTCTGTTTCGCAGTGACCGAGCTTTGAAAATCGGTCTGGTTACAGAGTAGTTGGCACCACAATTTCATCGGCGACACACACCATTGCACCAATGCACCATACACATTCGTGCATACTATGTAATTTCCATTAGGGCGGTAAACCCCGACGGTTGTCTGCAGTACGTTAGCATCGGCTCCGATGCGCGTTGTCTCTGCTCTCCCTCTCGCACGCAGAACCGGGTTGATCACATGTTGAGAATGCTGTTATTTACCCTCCCGGGGTATCTATTTTCCGTTTGGATTTTGGAGCAGCAGTAGGCAGGAGATTGGATCCACATGGATATAAAAGACATGGTACATCTGCCCCATATCAGAGACATGACTGCTGTACACAGCAGTTGTAGTACTGCGTGTAGGCCGCACATTGCTCAATATGCGTGCTTTTGTGGTGGTCTGCCCCTTGGTCTCTGCTGGTCTTTACGGCGCATGTTTTCCCCTCTTTGGCGAGGTACGCCGGCGATCTTTTCGGCACACAAAGTTATCGCGCTGCTGTCGTGCCTGTAGTCACGTAGGGGCCAAGCCGTTATGTACACCTCGATTCTACTATACGTTGTAGGTTTCAGGGTGGTTTTCCATAGCCTACGCAATTAAGACCATATCGGTGTTGATGCTGTACACACCACAAAAAAATAGTTCAATACCAAATTTGGATTAGAATGACAACACGAAGCGAGGGGCGGGGGAGTATATTTGTACGTCCCTGCATGGACTCCGGGAGCCCCCCCTGGTTGTACCGATACTGCTGTAAACATTTCGTGTGCCATGTGCACGCGTGTGACAGAGTAGTTGACAAAAAATCGTTTGTGACGTAGTCGCGGGAAGATGGGTCTTCCAATCATATGGAAGATCTGTCAAAAACTTGAATGACATGTCGCGGTCGTTTGGGTCCATCTTTGGCGGAAGCTGTAAAACATTGTGAGCGTATCCTCGTGCAGACAAGAATGATCGATCACGTTTCCCGACACGACTGATGGCACTAGTTTTCGACCACGACGACCCTCGCCCCCACCCGCCCGTGTTTGTTTGTTGTCTCTCTCTCTGCAGGCCCCATCGTGGACGATGGTACGACGTCTGAGATCCTCCCCGATGACGACTACGCGTACAGCACGTTCACTGAGATCAGCGCACCGCCCGACGAAACTCCTTCACCGGTACGGGGGTGATGGTACACAGCGCGCAGTAGTAGTAGTAGTTCCTACATCTTGTTTGGAAAGTATGCGTACGAACACGGAAAGACTACCGATCCGGTCGGTCGAGATCTATTTATCCACAGTCTCAGGGGGATGTGTTGAAGTCTTAGACTAACAGTGAGTGGAAGCAAAAACAAAAAACGGCTGGATGCTTGATTTATTTTGAGCCTGTCCAGAACTCGTTGTTCATGGAAGAATGGTCTCTGTTCACATTCTGTGTTTGCCCAATGATACTTGTACATCAGTGCTTGCATGACTTTCGTCGATTTTCTTCCGGACTAGCCCCGTGGAATTGTTTTTCACAAACTTTTTTGTTTGGCGAGGTGATCGGGTGTTGGTGTCTGGAGGTTGCGTGTTTTCTCGTACGTTCCATCTTGGTGCGGGCAAGACTGCTGCTGTAGTCTGCGACTCCACGCAGTTGCGTTTCTCTCCCCTGTATTAATATTTTCTCGAGATTACGAGGGGTCTACCTTGTTAAGACAGCAGAAACATCAGCACGCAAACGACAAGAAGGAAATGCGTTGTCAAGTGGTACGATCCAATGTGGTCGCTCTCCCCGTGCTCACCCACTACCCTCGACTAGTTGGTGTGTGTTGTTTATCCAAGGTTGATCGTTGCAAAGTACGATCCAATATCGTCGCTCTCCCCCATGCTTTGCCTAACCCTCGGCTCTCTTGTTGCCTTTCTCGTCCCCAACTTGGTCGTTTCCAATTCGACGTCGAGCGGATTTTCCCTCTCCGGGTATGTACGATACATACGGTCCGTGCACAACAAGTCGTCCATTCACGTTTTGTGCGATAAGAAACATATTTGAAACGCGAAACAGCGATGTTCGTGATCCCCTCGTCGAGCCACGTCGATAGCAGCAGAGT